TGCTCACCTTAAACTCGGATTTTGGCTCACAACTAAAAGCAAAAAATTGACCGAGTGACAGCTCATAACTTAGAAAACTCATAAGTTGGGACACTCGTAAGTCAAGGTAGCATTGCATAATATTATTTTTTTTTTTATTATCACACTGGCCAATTCCCACCAAGGCAGGGTGGCCCGAAAAAGAAAAACTTTCACCATCATTCACTCCATCACTGTCTTGCCAGAAGGGTGCTTTACACTACAGTTTTTAAACTGCAACATTAACACCCCTCCTTCAGAGTGCAGGCACTGTACTTCCCATCTCCAGGACTCAAGTCCGGCCTGCCAGTTTCCCTGAACCCCTTCATAAATGTTACTTTGCTCACACTCCAACAGCACATCAAGTATTAAAAACCATTTGTCTCCATTCACTCCTATCAAACACGCTCACGCATGCCTGCTGGAAGTCCAAGCCCCTCGCACACAAAACCTCCTTTACCCCCTCCCTCCAACCTTTCCTAGGCCGACCCCTACCCCGCCTTCCTTCCACTACAGACTGATACACTCTTGAAGTCACTCTGTTTCGCTCCATTCTCTCTACATGTCCGAACCACCTCAACAACCCTTCCTCAGCCCTCTGGACAACAGTTTTGGTAATCCCGCACCTCCTCCTAACTTCCAAACTACGAATTCTCTGCATTATATTCACACCACACATTGCCCTCAGACATGACATCTCCACTGCCTCTAGCCTTCTCCTCGCTGCAACATTCATCACCCATGCTTCACACCCATATAAGAGCGTTGGTAAAACTATACTCTCATACATTCCCCTTTTTGCCTCCAAGGACAAAGTTCTTTGTCTCCACAGACTCCTAAGTGAAACCACTCACCATTTTGCCCTCATCAATTCTATGATTCACCTCATCTTTCATAGACCCATCCGCTGACACATCCACTCCCAAAATATCTGAATACATTCACCTCCTCCATACTCTCTCCCTCTAATCTGATATCCAATCTTCATCACCTAATCTTTTTGTTATCCTCATAACCTTACTCTTTCCTGTATTCACTTTTAATTTTCTTCTTTTGCACACCCTACCAAATTCATCCACCAATCTCTGCAACTTCTCTTCAGAATCTCCCAAGAGCACAGTGTCATCAGCAAAGAGCAACTGTGACAACTCCCACTTTATGTGTGATTCTTTATCTTTTAACTCCACGCCTCTTGCCAAGACCCTCGCATTTACTTCTCTTACAACCCCATCTATAAATATATTAAACAACCACGGTGACACCACATCCTTGTCAAAGGGCCACTTTACTGGGAAAAAATTTTTCCCTTTTTCCTACATACTCTAACTTGACCCACATCCTCGAAAAAATCTTCACTGCTTTCAGTAACCACCTCCTACCCATACACCTGAAAACACGCCACTTTGGGCCCCCCCTATCCACCCTGTCATATGCCTTTTTTTCCAAATCCTTAAATGCCAAAAAAAAACCCTTTTTAAACCTATCAAATACTGTTCACTTTATTTTCACTGTAAACCCTGTCCACCACCCCCTACCTTTCCAAAACCTCCTTGTTCATCTGCTATCCTTCCACCGCTTCTCTTAATTCTTTCAAAATAACTCTACATACATTTTCCCGGGAAAACTAGCAACTTATCCCCCTAAAAATTTTTGCACTCTTTTTTGCCCCTTTTGCCTTTATAAAAAGGGAACTATGCATGCCTCTCCCAACCCCTAGGTACCTTACCCTCTTCCATCATTTTTTTAAATAATTGCACCAACCACCCAAAACTATACCCCACCGCTTTAAACATTTCTATCTTTATCCCATCAATCCCGGCCCCTTTATCCCCTTTCATTTACCTACTGCCTCACGAATTTTTCCCCCCCACCCCCAAACTGGCTTTTCCCCTCACTTACAAGATTTTTTTCCCCTTGCCCATACACGAAATCACAGCTTCCCTATCTTCACAACATTTAACAATTCCTAAAAAATTTTCCCTCCATCTTCCCAATACCTCTAACCCCATTTTAATAACTCCCTCCTTTTTTTTAACTACAAATCCATTTTTTCTCTGGCTTCCTTAACTTGTTAACTCACTCCAAAAAATTTTTTTTTATTTTCAACCCAAAATTTGTTGATAACACTCACCCACTCCTCATTTTTCCTCTTTTTTTCATTGCCTCACCACTCTCTTAACCTCTCTCTTTTTTTTCCAATACTCTTCCCCCCTTTCTCACTTCTACTTTTTTAAAACTTTTCCCAAACTAACTTTTTCTCCCTACTACCTCTTTTCCTCATCATTCCCCCAATCCGCTCCTCTTCCCCCCGCACCCACTTTTTCCCGTAACCACAACTCGCGAAAACCAAAAATTGCCTTAGACAAGATGGTGATGTCACCGTCTTGTTTAATATTTTATAGATGGGGTTGAAAAAGAAGTAAAAGCAGGGCTTGGGGAAGAGGCGTGGTTTTAAAATAAAGAATCACACACAAAGTGGGAGTTTTTCACAGCTGCTCTTTGCGATGACACTGTGCCTTTGGGAGATTCTGAAGAGAGCGCAGAGATTGGTGGGTAATTTGGTAGGGTGTGCAAAGAAAAAATTAAAAGGGAATACAGGGAAAAAGTAAGGTTATGAGGGTAAAAAAAAGTTTGGTGATGAAAGATTGAATATCAATTGGAGGGAGAAAGGGGGAGGGAACGATTCAATATTTTTTGGGGTGGCGTTCAGCGATGGGTCATGAAAATGAGGTGAATCAAGAATTGATGAGGGAAAAAGAGGGGTGGTCACTTTGGAGTCTGTGAACAAAGAACTTTGCCTTTGGGGGCAAAAAGGGGGAAATTTTGAGAGTAAAATTTTAACCAAAACCCCTTAAATGGGTTGAAGCGGGGTGATGAATGTTGCAGCAGGGGAAAGGGGGAGGCAGTGGGGATGCAGTCTGAGGCAATGTGGTGTGAATATAATGCAGAAATTTCGTAGTTTTTAAGTTAGGAGGAGGGGCGGGATTACCAAAACTATTTTCCAGAGGGCTGAGGAAGGGTTGTTGAGGTGGTTCGGACATGTAGAGAGAATGGAGCGAAACAGAATAACTTCAAGAGTGTATCAGTCTGTAGTGGAAGGAAGGCGGGGTAGGGGTCGGCCTAGGAAGGGTTGGAGGGAGGGGGTAAAGGAGGTTTTGTGTGCGAGGGGCTTGGACTTCCAGCAGGCAAGCGTGAGCGTGTTTGATAGGAGTGAATGGAGACAAATGGTTTTTAATACTTGACGTGCTGTTGGAGTGTGAGCAAAGTAACATTTATGAAGGGATTCAGGGAAACCGGCAGGCCGGACTTGAGTCCTGGAGATGGGAAGTACAGTGCCTGCACTCTGAAGGAGGGGTGTTAATGTTGCAGTTTAAAAACTGTAGTGTAAAGCACCCTTCTGGCAAGACAGTGATGGAGTGAATGATGGTGAAAGTTTTTCTTTTTCGGGCCACCCTGCCTTGGTGGGAATCGGCCAGTGTGATAATAAATAAATAAAAATAAAAATATATTGATAAATTATCATCCATGTGACAGGATTATTGTTTTGTTTTTTAACACTGTCTCTGATTATCACTATCTTGCCTGAGATGTGCAGATATGACAGTTCAGGTCTCTCACCAAACAGCAAATATCCCAAACCCCTTCTTTAGAGTGCAGGCACAGTACCTCCCACCTGTATAATGATATCACAGGTGTTCTTTACTTTATGCAGTAGATGCACAGATAACCAGTACATAAGAAGTATGTGATGACTTTTTTCTTTTTTTGGTCTATCCTGGACCATTGTTATGCCAGTTGTGACTTGACAGTGAGTCATGGGCTGATCCAAACATCATCACAAGTTTCTTCTCCTAAGTGCAAGTTATTTGTCAGTTCTTCCAGCCATGATATTGCGACTTGTTCTTTTTTGCCTCGGATGTATTCTTGGCCATTGGCAGCTGCACAAAGTTCACTTAATCTCACAAAATAATTATAAGACAATTGCAAACAAATCACAAAACGGGTGGGGTTGGTAGCCATGGTGAGTGAGTCCTAAAACAAACAGGCTGCAAGTTTTAGGACTCACCTGCCGGTAGCCATGGCAAGTGAGTCCTAAAACAAACAGGCTGCAAGTTTTAGGACTCACCTGCTGGTAGCCATGGCAAGTGAGTCCTAAAACAAACAGGCTGCAAGTTTTAGGACTCACCTGCCGGTAGCCATGGCAAGTGAGTCCTAAAACAAACAGGCTGCAAGTTTTAGGACTCACTGCCGGTAGCCATGGCAAGTGAGTCCTAAAACAAACAGGCTGCAAGTTTTAGGACTCACTGCTGGTAGCCATGGCAAGTGAGTCCTAAAACAAACAGGCTGCAAGTTTTAGGATTCACCTGCTGGTAGCCATGGCAAGTGAGTCCTAAAACAAACAGGCGCAAGTTTTAGGACTCACCTGCGGTAGCCATGGCAAGTGAGTCCTAAAACAAAACAGGCTGCAAGTTTTAGGACTCACCTGCTGGTAGCCATGGCAAGTGAGTCCTAAAACAAACAGGCTGCAAGTTTTAGGACTCACCTGCCGGTAGCCATGGCAAGTGAGTCCTAAAACAAACAGGCTGCAAGTTTTAGGACTCACCTGCCATGAGTTCAAGGCCCCACCCATTCTGTGACTCATTCATTCCATTAACATGTGAACTGCACCAGTCACATTTGGTTGATATATATTGCACATATAAATTCTTTCATTTTAAACTTGTTAGCTATCTCCCATTGATGTAAGTGGTCAAAAAATAAAAGGAAATATGTGACAGTCATTCATTGAGTTGCTGTCTTGCCAGAAGCATGCTGGCATGGAATTACAGATAAAAATGGAATATGACATAATAGCAAGCCCTCAAAAAGCAAGGGCTAAGGGTGTCAGTTTTTCTTAAACTTTAATTTAACTGTTCACCGTTTAATTAAGAATGTCGAAAGTGATCAGTTGCAGGCATATCTAAATTGTACTTTTTTTACAGGTTTTAAAGGTAGTGTCAAGCCTAATTTACTAAAGCAGGAGACCCAGTCACTGGCATGTGCTCTGAGGATACTTTTCCGCATGTTGGCTGATCCGTCCAGAGAAGAGGAATGGCCTCAGGTATTTAAATCATAAATGCTGATATCCTGTATTTATGATGTTGTAGGTCACATGCTTATTAGGGAGTATGTAAAAGAAGAAACAGCATGTAAAAGTGAACGTAAGAAAGAGCAAGGTGATGAGAGTAACAAACGATTTAGGTAACCGAAGATTGTATATAAGATTGGAAGGAGGGAGCATGGAGGAAGTGAGTGTATTCAGGTATTTGGGAGTGGACTTGTTGGCAGATGGATATGTTGAAGACAAGGTGAACCATGGAATTGATGGGAAAAAGGTAGGTGGTGCATTGAGATATCTGTGAAGACAAAGAATGTTGTTCATGGAGGCAGAACGGGAACTGTATGAGAGTACAGTGGACCCTTGACTAACGCTATTAATCCGTTCCTGAGAGCTCATCGTTAGTCAAAATTACCGTTTGTCAAGTTAATTTTCCCCATAAGAAATAATGGAAATCAAATTAATCCGTGTAGGACACCCCAAAGTATGAAAAAAAAAATTGTTTTTACCACATGAAATATTAATTTTAATATACACAAACTGAAGAAGACATGCACAGTTACATGACACTTACCTTTATTGAAGATCTGGTGATGATTGATGGGATGGGAGGAGGGGAGAGTGTTGATGGTCTTAGTGTTTAGAAGGGGAATCCCCTTCCATTAGGACTTGAGGTGGCAAGTCCTTTTCCGGGGTTACTTCCCTTCCCTTTAAATCTCTCAAACCAAACTTTGCTGGCCTTAAATTCACTCACATCACCACTAGTTGCTGGCATTTTTTTAATTAAATCGTCATGCAACTTCCTAGCCTTTTCACATATGATCGCTTGAGAGATGCTATCTCCTGCTATCTGTTTTTCGTGTACCCACACCAATAGCAGTCTCTCAACATCTTCGAGTACTTGCGATCTCAGTTTCGAAAACATAGTTGCACCTTTGGCAAGAACAGCTTCCTTGATTGCCGTTTTCTTGGCCACAATAGTAGCGATGGTTGATTGGGGTTGTGTGTACAACCTGGCCAGCTTGGAGACACGCACTCCACTTTCATACTTAGCAATGATCTCTTTCTTCATATCCATAGTAATTCTCACCCTTTTTGCTGTAGGGTTGGCACTAGAAGTTTTCTTGGGGCCCATGGTGACTTATTTTGCAGGTGCAATCACTAAAAAGGGTGTGATAATATGAAATGTTCCGATTGTATGCTTGGAAGCGACTGCGGTGGCTGGCTGGCTTGTAAACACTGGCCAGAAGTGGACGCGTCTCAGACAGAACTAATAGCGTTGGTCGAGTTTTTTAGCGCTAGTCGAGGCAAAAATTTTGCGTTAAAATGTATCGCTAGTCGGATTTATCTTTAATCGATGCCATCGTTGGTCGAGGGTCCACTGTATAGTGATACCAACACTCTTATATGGGCGTGAAGCATGGGTTATGAATTTTGCAGCAAGGAAGAGACTGGAGGCAATGTAGATGTCGTGTCTGAAGGCAATGTAGATGTCGTGTCTGAAGGCAATGTGTGGTGTAAGTATTATGCAAAGAATTCATAGCTTGGAGATTAGGAGGAGATGCAAGTTACTAAAATTACTATCCAGAGGGCTGAGGAGGGGTTGTTGAGTTGGTTTGGTCATTCAGAAAGGATGGAGCAAATTAGGATGACTTGGAGGGTGTATAAATCTGTAGTGGAGGGAAGGAGGGGTAGGGGTCGTCCTAGGAAAGGATGGAGGGAGGGGGTAAAAGAGGTTTTGTGTGCAAGGAGCTTGGATATACAGCAGGCACATGTGAGCATGTTAGATAGGAGTGAGTGAAGACAAATGGTTTTTGGAACTTGACAAGCTGTTGGAGTGTGAGCAGGGTAATATTTTGTGGTGGAATTCAGAGAAACTGGTTAGACAGACTTGAGTCCTGGAGGTGGGAAGTACAATGCCTGCACTTTAAAGGAAGGGTTTGGGATATCTGCTGTTTGAAGTGACATCCAAACTGTCATCTCTGGGCACCTCTGCAAAGACAGTGATTATGTGTGAATGATGATGAAAGTGTGTCTTTCTTTTTTTTGGGTCACCCTGCCTCAGTGGGAGACAGCCAGTGTGTTGAGAGAGATTATTCGTGCTTGCTTTCTCATGGGGAATATGTTGGTTAAACCATATTCTGTCTCAAGTGTATAAGAACATAAGAAAGGAGGAACACTGCAGGAGGCCTGCTGGCCCATACTAGGCAGGTCCTTTACAATTCATCCCACTAACAAAACATTTGCCCAACCCAATTTTCAATGCCACCCAAGAAATAAGCTCTGATGTGAAAGTCCCACTCAAATCCAACCCCTCCCACTCATGTACTTATCCAACCTAGATTTGAAACTACCCAAAGTCCCAGCCTCAATAACCCAACTAGGTAGACTGTTCCACTCATCAACTACCCTATTTCCAAACCAATACTTTCCTATGTCCTTTCTAAATCTAAACTTATCTAATTTAAATCCATTACTGCGGGTTCTCTCTTGGAGAGACATCCTCAAGACCTTATTAATATCCCCTTTATTAATACCTATCTTCCACTTATACACTTCGATCAGGTCTCCCCTCATTCTTCGTCTAACAAGTGAATGTAACTTAAGAGTCTTCAATCTTTCTTCATAAGGAAGATTTCTAATGCTATGTATTAATTTAGTCATCCTACGCTGAATGTTTTCTAACGAATTTATGTCCATTTTGTAATACGGAGACCAGAACTGAGCTGCATAATCTAGGTGAGGCCTTACTAATGATGTATAAAGCTGCAGTATGACCTCTGGACTTCTGTTGCTTACACTTCTTGATATAAATCCCAGTAATCTATTTGCCTTATTACGTACGCTTAGGCATTGCTGTATTGGTTTAAGGTTGCTGCTCACCATAACCCCCAAGTCCTTTTCGCAATCTGTATGGCTAAGTTCTACATCATTTAACTTATAAGTACTAGGGTTATGGCACTCCCAAGCTTCAGAACCTTGCATTTATCTACATTGAACTGCATCTGCCACTTTTCTGACCAAGAATAGAGTTTGTTTAAATCCTCCTGAAGTTCCATAACATCTACGTTTGAATCAATTATCCTACCTATCTTTGTGTCATCGCGAATTTGCTCATATCACTAGTAATTCCCTCATCAAGATCATTGAAATATATTATAAACAACAACGGCGCCCAAGACTGATCCCTGTGGAACGCCACTTGTTACAGATCCCCACTCGGATTTAACCCCATTTATGGACACTCTCTGCTTCCTGTCAGTGAGCCATGACTCGAATCCACGAGAGCACTTTTTCCCCCAATGCCATGAGCTGCCACTTTCTTTAACAGTCTATGGTGCAGAACTCTATCAAAAAGCCTTACTAAAATCTAAGTAAATAATATCAAATTCTTTATTGTGGTCAACAGCCTCAAAAGCTTTACTGAAGAAAGTTAATAAATTAGTTAGACAAGACCGGCCTCTTGTGAATCCATGCTGAGTATCATTAATCAAGCTATGCTTATCGAGATGGCTTCTTATAATCTCAGCTATAATTGACTCTAGTAATTTGCCTACAATTGAGGTCAGGCTTATTGGGCGGTAATTTGACGGTAACGACTTGTCCCCTGTTTTAAAAATAGGAATTACATTAGCCATCTTCCACATATCAAACACTACACCTGTTTGAAGAGATAAATTAAAAATATTAGTTAATGGTTCACAGAGTTCCATTTTGCATTCCTTAAGAAGAACCCTTGAAAAAACCTCATCAGGACCCGGCGACTTATTTTGCTTCAGTCTGTCTATCTGCTTCACAACCATCTCACTAGTGACTGTGATGTTACATAATTTATCTTCTTCTAGCCCACTGTAAAAATTAATTACTGGAATATTGTTAGTGTCTTCCTGTGTAAAAACTGAGAGAAAATAATTATTTAAAATCAAGCACATTTCATTCTCTTTGTCAGTAAGGTGACCATAGTTATTTTTAAGGGGACCTATCTTATCTCTAACTTTTGTTCTATAGACCTGGAAAAAACTTTTTGGGTTAGTTTTAGAATCCCTAGCAACTTTAATTTCATAGTCCCTTTTAGCTTTTCTTATCCCCTTTTTAATGTCCCTCTTAATGTCAATATACTGATTTATAAGATGACCCTCACCTCTTTGATACGCCTATAAATTCCTTTCTTATGCCCTAGTAGATATTTGAGCCTATTATTCATCCATTTTGGGTCATTTCTATTTGATCTAATTTCTTTATATGGGATAAACGCTCTTTGAGCAGCATGTATAGTGTTCAGAAAACTGTCATATTGATAGCTCTCTTCGTTACCCCAGTCAAACAGATGATAAGTGTTCTCTAAGCCCATCGTAATCTGCTAAGCGAAAATCTGGGACTGTTACTGAGTTATCGCTACTACATCGTACTTCCATTCAATGCTAAATGTAATTGATTTGTGGTCGCTAGCACCCAGTTCCTCTGAAATTTCTAAATTATTAACAAGGGATTCATTGTTGCCATAACTAAGTCAAGCAGGTTATTTCCCCTTGTAGGTTCTGTCACAAACTGCTTCAAAAAACAATCCTGAAATACTTCTAAGAAGTCGTATGATTCTAAATTCCCCACTCAAGAAATTCCAATCAACATGACTAAAGTTAAAGTCTCCTAGAATTACTACATTATTGTGCCTTGTGGCCTTAACAATTTCCCCCATAGTAGTTTCCCTTGGTCCCTATCTAAGTTTGGGGGACGGTATATCACTCCTAAAATCAGTTTTTTCTTGCCCCTCTGAAAATTCTATCCAAACAGACTCTGTATGTGTTACTTCAGACTTAATACCCGTTTTTATGCAACAGTTCAAGCGATCTTGGACATAACAATCCACCACCACCCTCCCTCCCAATACTTCTATCTTCTTGGAACAATTTAAAACCCTGAATATGACATTCCGCAGGCATGTCCCGACTTTTTGAATAAACCACGTCTCAGTTAAGGCAAATACATCAATGTTACCTACACTAGCAACTAATCTCAACTCGTCCATCTTATTCCTAGCACTACGGCAATTAGCATAATAAACATTGAAAGACTCTCCTTTCTCTTTACCCTTCCTGCTCATTTCTATTTTTCTACTAAACCTATTACTGTCCTATCACCCAAGGTCCCTGGCTTTTTCAATATCTATCTCGTTCTTATTATTACTATTCCCCTAGAACTCGTAATATTACTACACTGGGACTTCACTGTTTCCTGCCAAAACCCATACCACTAACTATTCCTAGTTTAAAGTCCTAACTGCTCCCTCCACTGCAGTTGCCAGTGCTCCCACCCCACACCTAGATAAGTGAACCCCATCCCTAGCATATATGTCATTTCTGCCATAGAAGAGGTCCCAGTTGTCAATGAATGTTACCACATTTTCCTTACAGTATTTGTCCAGCCAGCAATTGACACCAATTGCCCTGGACAACCATTCATTTCCAACTCCCCTCCTTGGCAAAATACCACATATGACAGGGTTCCCACCCTTACTTCTAATTATTTCTATTGCTGACCTATACCTGCTAATCAGGTCCTCACTCCTACGTCTGCCAACATCGTTGCCTCCAGCACTGAGACAGATAATAGGATTGCTCCCATTACCTCTCATGATGTCATCCAGATGGCTAACAATATCCTCCATCCCAGCCCCAGGAAAGCAAACTCTCTGTCTCCTACTCCTGTCCTTCAAGCAGAACGCCCTATCCATATACCTAACTTGGCTATCCCCAACAACAACAATATTCTTACCTTCCTTAATGTCTTTCGTCGTGATGTTCCCAGTAGTCGACTCACATTCGTCGGGTAGCACTGAGAATGTATTGGATGTTTCCACAACAGTTTCCACGGCAGTCTCTTTCTTCTTCATCGTTTCTACCTTTCCATTCGTCTTCTTGATCGTCAACTTCTTTCCCTGCTGTCCAGCCACTGACCAGTTTCCCTTCTTGACCTTAGTATGTCTGTTCATCATTGCACACTGCACTACCCCGGCAGTTTATGGTGTGCCCTGAATAATGGTGAAGTTCTGCATGTGGATAAAGAATTTTCAGCTCCTTTTGAATCTCTATGAATCAGAATTCCTAATGTTCCATTTTCTTCTAGGTACAAGAACGCCTCATTTGTGTGTGTCGTTCTGGGCTGGAGTATTTCTTGTCACTTCCTGAGTCACATCGAGAGGCATGGACCAATCTCATTCTTCTATTCCTTACTAATATCCATAAGATGTCCAATGATCAGGTAAGAGGCATGATGCATGCACTTCTTGTACTCACAGGCTCACTCTTGAGTACACTCCTACATCCCTCCCTTCGTTCTCTCCTTCTCCATCTTATCCTGTTTCTCTTTTTTTCCCTCCTTCCTTTTGTTCATCTTCCTTTTCATTTCCTCCATCTCTTCCCTCTGTATTCCTCTTCCTCCTTTACTCTCATGAAACTAAATTGAACAGTCTGGTGTTTATATACTTCATTGTATGATTTATGAAGTAGTTGATTTGTTGAAGAATGAAACACTTGATGAACTGAAAACACCGATTCCAGGCTGAGGGACTGATTTCCTTAAACTCCTCCTCTTTTTCTACTGTTCTTCTTTGTATTGGACTGATGAAGCCAATGTGTGGCAAAATGTTTCCTCAGTAAAGATTCCCAAATGTTACACAAGTGTCTCATTCTTCAACTTGTTAGTTTTCTAAACCATTTATCACATAGTTGATTTGTTGTAGTCCTACACCTTGAGAGTTTTAATAATTTAAGTTTTATCTCTTTCACTGTCCAGACCCCCAAAATTAAAATTTCTCCGTGTCCACTTCAAAAAAAAAAAAATCTGAAATGTTAGAGAATCTTTTTCTAAAGGTAATGACACCAAAAGTATGAAATTTGATGGAAAACTTTCGGAATTACACAAGTGCAAAGTTAGCAGTCTGGGCACAATTTACACATCAGTGATTTTTTGCCCACTTTGAATCTATTTTAAGGCAGTTCCATTGCTCCATTCAGCTAAATTCTTAGCTGTTTTGCCAGAATTCTTTCCATTCTATTGATTGAGTACAAGATACCTCTCACTGAACTATTTAAACTACCCTATAAAGTATGCAGAATTCAGTAATTTGGCAGGTTTTACACAAAATTAAAAACTGCCAATTTAAAAATAGAGTTCAAAATAAACAATGTAGACATTCCTGGCACAAAAACATTCCTCTGTTCATTAGCCGCGTCCCCCAGGTGCCTCTCATATTACACTAGCCTTCTGTTTGGAATTCTTAATCACACAAAAATAGAAGATTTACTCTGTCAGATAAAGTATAATTAGGAATGATTGGTTATGGTTTATGGTGTCCCAGTAATTGAATCAGACCTATTAAAGATCCATAGAAAAGACTGGGGGTGTAGGGGGGCGTTTCCCTCCTCAAAAATATTGGCAGAAATCAAATATTTCTACTTCAGATTCACTTTCAAATACTTGTGGCCCTGAAAGATGGGAAGTACAATGCCTACACTCTGAAGGAGGGGTGGGGATATTTGCAGTTTGGAGGGACATCTGACCTGTGGTATCAACAAGCTTCTGGCAAGATAGTGATGGAGTGAATGATGGTCACCCTACCTTAGTGGGAGATGGACAGTGTTAAAAAAAATATATAACAATCTTTATTTCTTCAAGTACATAATACAACTAGTTCTAGCTTACATCAATAGCTTATTATGTAGAAAGCCCCAGGTTATGCAGAGAATTCTTGGCAACTTTGGTTAAGCTTGTACCCCAAGATGCCACCCACAACAGTCAACTAACAGCCAGGTACCTACTTACTGCTAGGTGAACAGGGGCAGCAGGTGTAAGGAAAAATGCCCAATGTTTCAGTCGTGCTGGGATTGATCCCAGGACCTCAGTGTGAGAGTTGATGACACTACCAATCAAATATTTATTCTAATATTTATTCTACTGACCAAATTTAATGACATTTGTGGATTCTGAATTTGTGAGACTCCAACCTTGCTTTTTTTTTTTTTTTTTAACCAAATATCTTGAATTATAACCTGCTGTTATGATGATTTTTTCCAGTTTGCTGCTCATGCTTCCAACTACTATCCATTTTTATGTGAGATAATGTGCTTCAATCTCAAGCCGGAATTACGAGCTGTTCTACGCCGCTTCTTCCTACGTATCGGTATTGTATTTAACATAACCCACCCAAGCATCCGAAATCACACTACATCAACATCCTCAGTATGCTCTAATTCTCATTTGAAAGATTCTCCTTTGAATGAGCAGTGAGGTTTTGAGCAAGTATATCTCACAGACTTCAGTTATTTGGAAGGCAGTCTTATGTTGGATACAAGGCTGAGATACCAACAGTAAGTCTTATGTTGGATACAAGGCTGAGATACCAACAGTAAGTCTTATGTTGGATACAAGGCTGAGATACCAACAGTAAGTCTTATGTTGGATACAAGGCTGAGATACCAACAGTAAGTCTTACGTTGGATACAAGGCTGAGATACGAACAGTAAGTCTTATGTTGGATACAAGGCTGAGATGCCAACAGTAAGTCTTATGTTGGATACAAGGATGAGATACCAACAGTAAGTCTTATGTTGGATACAAAGCTGAGATACCAACAGTAAGTCTTATGTTGGATACAAAGCTGAGATACCAACAGTAAGTCTTATGTTGGATACAAGGCTGAGATACCAACAGTAATTATGTTAGATACAAGGCTGAGATACCAACAGTAATTCTTATGTTGGATACGAAGCTGAGATACCAACAGGATGGAGTAAAAGAAATACATGCAGGGAAATAAAGAACAAAAAGGCACAGCACTGTGACTGAAACATTACACAAACCTGCAAATAGGAGAGAGAAACTTTCGATGACGTTATGTTCCTTTACCGTCATGTGTTAGTGTGACTTTAATGGTCCAAGTTGGAATGAAATGTTGTTATAAGTTTCCTTCTCTTATATGTAGGTTATTTGTGTAATGCAGGGCAAGCTTGTATTGTCACATTCTACTTTATGTGAAGCTTTATAAACACTTAATGATTAGGACTTGACAAAACTTTACACAGAATGACACATTGTAACTATAAAAGCTTCTTAATGCAAATAATAATCGGCAAAAGAGAAGATCAGTAAATTTTAGTGATCCCCATGATGTGGCAGTTGGTATACTTATTAAATTTTGTGTCAGCATTTATTTGTCATTGCAGTTGTAGATAATGTAATTTGATATAATTTTTTATTCATGTGAAGCATCTTTATCATATTTTATATGGATATTTTGTAAATGTTATAATAGTATGGGCTGTTGAACCAAACCTGATTTATGTAGGCAATATACACATAAGGTTTACTTTCGCTATTAAAAGTCATTTTGTAGATGGTGGTTTATATCATCCCAAAACAAATCTATTCAAGAAATACAGAAAATATTTCCTAAATTCTTCCTTTGTCATACATTCTACCATGTGAATTTTGTAATTATTCTATAGTCAGTTATTTTTGTATATCAACTCCTTATTTCTCATTATGTCCATTTCTTTCTTTCTTTCAACACACCGGCTGTATCCCACCGAGGCAGGGTGGCCCAAAAGGAAAAACAAATTTTTTTTTTTTTTTTTTTTCAACAAGTCGGCCGTCTCCCACTGAGGCAGGGTGACCCAAAAAGAACGAAAATTCCCAAAAAGAAAATATTTTCATCATCATTCAACACTTTCACCACACTCACACATTATCACTGTTTTTGCAGAGGTGCTCAGAACACAACAGTTCAGAAGCATATACGTATAAAGATACACAACATATCCCTCCAAACTGCTAATATTCCAAAACCCCTCCTTTAGAGTGCAGGCATTGTACTTCCCATTTCTCCTTTTACATTTAGTAATATATACAGGAGAAGAGGTTACTAGCCCCTTGCTCCCAGCATTTTAGTCGCCTCTTACAGCACGCATGGCTTACGGAGGAAGAATTCTGTTCCACTTCCCCATGGAGATAAGAGGAAATAAACAAGAATAAGAACTAGAAAGAAAATAGAAGAAAACCCAGAGGGGTGTGTATGTGCTTGTACATGTATGTGTAGTGTGACCTAAGTGTAAGTAGAAGTAGCGAGACATACCTGAAATCTTGCATGTTCATGAGACAGAAAAAAGGACACCAGCAATCCTACCATCATGTAAAACAATTACAGGCTTTAGTTTTACACTCACTTGGCAGGATGGTAGTACCTCCCTGGGCGGTTGCTGTCTACCAACCTACTACCTACATTACGTCCATTTACCACCTAAAAATTCTTCATAACGAAAGAGCAAAATTTAGTAATTGTTATGGTGTACAGATATCTAATATTGTCACTGGGAAGACTTTTCCCTCATTCTGATACCATCATCTGTTGCAGTGAAAACCAAAATGTCTCTTAGTGTCTTGAGATTTGTTTCTGTATGTTGAGGCTTTTATTTTTGTTGCTGTCCCTAATCTCCTTGTACATGAAGAAGCAAGCAAGAGGTGGGTGGGTGGGTGGGGTGTGTGTGTGTGTGTGTGTGTGTGTGTGTGTGGGTGTGCGTGTGTGTGTGTGTGTGTGTGTGTGTGTGTGTGTGTGTGTGTGTGTGTGTGTGTGTGTGTGTGTGTGTGTGTGTGTGTGTGTGTACTCACCTAATTGTGGTTGCAGGGGTCGAGACTCAGCTCCTGGCCCCGCCTCTTCACTGATCACTACTGGATCCTCTCTCTCTCTGCTTCCTGAGCTTTGTCATACCTCTTCTTAAAACTATGTATGGTTCCTGCCTCCACTACTTCACTTGCTAGGCTATTCCACTTGCTAACAGCTCTATGACTGAAGAAATACTTCCTAACGTCCCTGTGACTCGTCTGAGTCTTCAGCTTCCAGTTGTGACCCCTTGTCCCTGTGTCCCCTCTCTGGAACATCCTATCTCTGTCCACCTTGTCTATTCCCCGCAGTATCTTGTATGTCGTTATCATGTCTCCCCTGACCCTTCTGTCCTCCAGTGTCGTCAGTCCGATTTCCCTTAACCTTTCCTCGTACAACATTCCCTTGAGCTCTGGGACTAGCCTTGTTGCAAACCTTTGTACTTTCTCTAACTTCTTGACGTGCTTGACCAGGTGTGGGTTCCAGACTGGTGCTGCATACTCCAGTATGGGCCTAACATACACAGTGTACAGTGTCTTGAACGATTCCTTATTAAGGTATCGGAACACTATTCTCAGGTTTGCCAGGCGCCCGTATGCTGCAGCGGTTATTTGGTTGATGTGTGCCTCCGGTGATGTGCTCAGTGTTATGGTCACCCCAAGGTCTTTCTCCCTGAGTGAGGTCTGTAGTCTTTGTCCACCTAGCCTATACTCTGTCTGCGGTCTTCTTTGCCCCTCCCCAATCTTCATGACTTTGCATTTGGCTGGATTGAATTCGAGAAGCCAGTTGCTGGACCACATGTCCAGCCTGTCCAGGTCTCTTTGCAGTCCTGCCTCATCCTCGTCCGATTTAATTCTTCTCATCAACTTCACGTCATCTGCGAACAGGGACACTTCAGAGTCTATTCCTTCCATCATGTCGTTCACATATATCAAAAATAGCACTGGTCCTAGAACTGACCCCTATGGGACCCCGCTTGTAACAGGTGCCCACTGTGATACCTCTTCACGTACCATGACTCGTTGCTGCCTCCCTGTCAGGTATTCCCTTATCCATTGCAGTGCCCTCCCTTTTACGTGTGCCTGATCCTCCAGCTTCTGCACTAATCTCTTGTGGGGAACTGTGTCAAAGGCCTTCCTGCAGTCTGGGAAAACGCAATCTACCCACCCCTCTCTCTCGTGTCTTACTTCTGTTACCTTGTCATAAAACTCCAGGAGGTTTGTGATACAAGATTTGCCTTCCATGAACCCATGCTGGTTTTCATTTATAATCTTGTTCCTTTCCAGGTGTTCGACCACTCTCCTCCTGATAATCTTCTCCATGACTTTGCACACAATACATGTCAGAGACACAGGTCTGTAGTTTAGTGCCTCGTTTCTGTTTCCTTTCTTTAATATGGGGACTACGTTAGCTGTCTTCCATTTCTCAGGTAGTTGCCCAGTTTCAAGGGATGTGTTGAAGATTGTGGTTAGAGGCACACACAGCATCTCTGCTCCTTCTCTAAGGACCCATGGGGAGATGTTGTCTGGTCCCATCGCCTTTGAGGTGTCAAGGTCACTTAAGAGCTTCTTCACCTCCTCCTCAGTTGTTCGTATGTCATCCAACACTTGTTGGTATATTCCCTCTTGATGTTCCCTTCTGTGCTGTCTTCCCACAGCCCTTCCTGTCTCTACTGTAAAAACTTCCTTAAATCTCCTGTTCAGCTCCTCACATACCTCCTGATCATTTCTTGTGAGTTCTCCACCTTCTGTCCTTAATCTGATCACCTGGTCTTTGACTGTTGTCTTCCTCCTGATGTGGCTATACAACAGTTTCGGGTCAGTCTTGATTCTCGATGTTATGTCATTTTCATACTGTCGCTGGGCCTCCCTCCTTACCTGTGCGTACTCATTCCTGGCTCTGCGACTGATCTCCCTATTTTCGTGTGTTCTCTGCCTTCTGTACTTTTTCCATTCTCTATTGCATTTTGTTTTTGCCTCCTTACACCGTCGGGTAAACCAGGGGCTCGTTCTGGTCTTCCCGTTGTTACTGTTGCCCTTGGGAATAAACCTTTCCACTGCCTCCTTGCATTTTGTTGTTACATATTCCATCATTTCATTTACTGGCTTTCCTGCCAGTTCACTGTCCCACTGGACCTCCCGCAGGAGGTTCTTCAACCCTATGTAGTCCCCTCTTTTATAATCAGGCTTTTCCCATTCAACTCCTGTTATTCTCTCCACTTGCAGTTCTACTATGTATTCAAAGCACAGAACCACGTGGTCGCTAGCTCCTAGGGGACTCTCATACTTGATGTCCTCAATATCTGAGCTGCCCAGGGTGAACACAAGGTCCAGTCTTGCTGGTTCATCCTCCCCTCTCACTCTGGTAGTGTCCTTAACATGTTGGTGCATGAGGTTTTCCAGCACCACGTCCAACATCCTGGCTCTCCATGTTTCGGGACCCCCATGTGGCTCCAGGTTTTCCCAGTCAATCTCCCTGTGGTTGAAATCCCCCATAACCAGCAATTTTGCTCTGCTGGAGTGAGCTCTTCTTGCCACCTCAGCAAGTGTATCCACCATTGCTCTGTTGCTCTCTTCATATTCCTCTCTTGGCCTCCTGCAGTTCTGTGGTGGATTATACATCACTGCAATGACCACTTTGTGTTCCCCAGACTGAAGTGTACCTGCTATGTAGTCTCTTTCTCCCGTCTCATCTATTCCTTCCATTTTCACGAATTTCCATCTGTTTTTGACGAGCAGAGCAACCCCACCTCCCCCCCTGCCCCTTCTATCTTTCCTCATGATCTGGTATCCTGGTGGGAAAATTGCATCTGTTATTGTCTCCATGAGTTTTGTTTCTGTAACTGCTATGATGTCTGGGGACTTCTCATTGATTCTTTCTTGCCATTCCTCATGTTTATTCGTTAATCCATTTGCATTTGTGTACCAAACCTTCAACTTCTGTTCTAATACTGTAACTGTGGTGTAGGGGGTGGAAACAGAGGGATCGGTGTGTGATGGTTGGTTTGGATTGTTCAGTTGCCTTGGGGGTGTCGTGGCTGGAGTCCTTCTGCAGGTGTTTCTGGGGGGTGCGCTTGTCCTTCCATTTGATCCTGGATTATTCTGCTCTCCTTTTTCGTTTCCTCCCATTTCTCCTTCTGTTTTTGAACTCTCTCTTTCATTGTCTTCCTTTCGTCCTGTGTTCTATCTCGCTCGAGGTACACACTCCGGAACTCCTGCTTGCCTCTCAGCCATGCTTTCTCCTGCAGGATCATGGTTCGGGTTGATTCTGCCTTGAAAATTACTTTGAGAGGCCGATTCCTTTTCTTTGTGAACCACCCAATTCTCCGAAAATTTGCCACCTGGGTCATGTCCCCCTCGCCTATCACCTTCATGATATCTTCAATCGCTTTTTTCTCCTCCTGCTTTCTTTCATCATAAGTTTCCCCTTTAGCTTCGTCTAGCCCATAGACAAACACGGATCTTTCCCTTTCCACCTCCCACTGTGACTCCCATTGCATCCTCTGATGTGTTTTAGTTCCTTCCCGTGGAGTGTTCCTTCCTTCAGTCCCTTCCCTAGTTATTGCCCCTATGCTTCTTGGTTTATCCTTCCTGCTCACCTCCCTGGCCCCACAGGTATCTGGTAAGGTCCTTGCACATGTCCTAGTTCCTTCAATGTCTTCCAACCTCTCATTCTGTCCTAGTGTGCTCCCTGTCTTGTTTTGGCCCCATGTGGGTTTGACAGGACCTCTGCATAC